CTGTTTCTTTGCCCGCCGACGGCAGTGCCGGAGGCAACGATCCGCCGCAGCTCCTGGCCGCGCCGCCCTGGGAAGCGCTGCCTTTTGTGTGCGTGGTGCAGGCGGGCTCAGGGGAGAGGGAAGTGCGGAGAAATGAGGAAAAATAAAAGCATGAGAAATATATTGTCACGGGTGAAGGGAGCTGCCCCGTGGGTCCGGAAAGGGGGAAAGAGGGTGTTTCGGGGTGGGAAGCTGCTCCCGGAGCCAGCAGCATCCCCAAGGCATCGCGTGGGGACGCTGGGTGCCAGAACAATGAATGCAACAAAGCCTGGATGTTCCTTTTGTGCATGATACCTTCAAAGTGGGTTTTTTTTTTTTAAGTATTACCTGTTTGATTACTGGATTTCTTTGAAGATCTGAAGACCAGAAATCCCCGCATGAAAGTGCTGTCACTTCTGGGGAGCAACAGCTGCCTGGAGCAGCTGAGACAAGGGGAGCGAGCGGCGCCCTCGCCGGCTTTGGTGCTGCGCCCCAGGATGGGCCACGTCGCTACGGGGCCTTTTCCTTCTGCAGATCCGACCCAGAGACCAAAAAACGCAACCCTGGACCACGTGGGGTCGCAGACAATGGAGAGCGGATGCTGCTTTACCCCCCGAGGAATGGAAGTCACAGCGTTACTGCAGCGCCTCGAGGAAGAAAGCATCACCTGGCTGCAAACTGGCCCCCCAAAACTGCAGGAAAAGCAATAGGAAAAAAGGCCTGGTTCAGCAAAGCGGTTCCCCCGAAAGACTTAAAAACCGTGGCCGTGAAACTGCTCTTTGGAGCTAACGTGCTCTGGGAAGGGCCATCCCTGCCAGCTGCCCTCGGCCGCCCCGGAGGCCGCCGGGCCGCAGCGGTGCGGCGTGAAACGCTGGGACGATGAGTCCTTCCTTCCCGTCAACCCATGGCTCTGGTGGGGCCAGAGACAGCTGGGGGGACGGACGGATGGAGGGATGGAGGGATGGACGGATGGATGGACTGATGGATGGATGGATGGACGGACTGATGGACGGATGGAGAGATGGATGGAGAGATGGATGAATGGATGGACAGATGGATGGACGGATGGATAGATGGAGAGATGGATGGACAGACAGATGGAGGGAGAGGCAGACGATGCGGACCCTGCTCTCACCTCCAAGTAAGCAGCTCTGGCAGCTGCACGATCAATTATTGTCATAATCTCATCTGGCCTCTCCCTTCTGCTTTCTCCCGCGTGCCTCTCCCTCCCTGCGCGGACCCTGTTCGCTCCCGCCAGCGCGGCCTCCCCGCCCCTCGCTTTGATCCGAGGAAGCAGCAATTGATCCTCCTTATCTTTATTGCGGTAGAGACATTCCCAGCATCGCCCTTAATTAAATTCCTTTTCATTTTCCTCCATAAGCCCCCCCCCTCCCCGGCCCTGCCGACTCCGGACGCGTATTTATTTATTTATTTATTTATTTATTTATTCAACGCACAGTTAAATTATTGGGTTTGTCCTGCGAAACGAGAGGCGGCGGATGCAGCGTGGGCCCCCGGCCCTTGGCGGGTGGCCTGGCCCCCGGCCCCGCTCGCCGCGGCGGCGAGGCGGGATGCTTGCCGAAGCCCCTCGTGCCCGGGGCCGGCGGCCGGCTC